TGATCTTGTCAGGCTGTCCCGAGCCAAGTCTAGCCTCTGATATAGGTGAATATCATTCTTTTGTTCAAATAGAAACTGGTAGGTTTAATTAACTTGTCTCGTATTGATAATACCCAGAGTATGTATGGAATTTGTGTGGTCATATTGACCTTCTGTTTGCTATTGATTGGAAATTCAATCTACGTGTATAGTGGCAGGCCTCGGCGCCTCGTTCATTTCATGGAGTTATAATACAGGAATGACCAATGTTAGTTGGACACGGACATTTTCTGGGTTCAGGTTGACATGATCATAGTGTTTTTTGTTGGTTCAAGTCTTCAAGTTATTATATCTCACGAATGTTTGTATGGACTACCCTAAAAAAAGAATGTTGGTATGGACAGTAGTGTCCAGCAAAAATGAGTTAGGCCTCCGAACTCTTCTTAACCTTTCTTTAGGAGCTCTACCACCATATGCACATTGTCGAGAGGAAATCACCATTGAAAAATAATGGGGACAAAATGCACATATGCACTATCGTGTACGAAATAACCGAGTATTAGTTGCTGCCGCTGTTAGACATATCTCGTACTTTGTAAGTAAGATCTGCTGCCACTGTGCATTGTCAATTTTGTGCGTGGTTACTCGTTGATGTCATGCCGAACACTCTACCACACTATCTGTGGTTTGTGAGGCACCTAGTCATCTAGCGATGGCAGTGAAGACAGTGCAAGATATTGCTGTTCTCATGTTCGTACAATAGACCCCATGCGCTGCTACGGAAATTTATAGCAACAAAATTACCGAAAATAAAATTTAAATATATGAGAATAATACTGCATCATATTTTTTGTCATATATGATAGCAAACCTAGAGGTAAATAGAGGGTAGATGTATTGTTATATTGCCATGCGATATTCCAGTTCAATTGTTTGTTGCTATAAATTGATAATGTAGAGGGCTTGCATGCTACTGTAGATGAGTAGAGGGCTTGCATGTGGTGAAAAGTGGAAGAGTTCATGCATTTGAGATGTGGATGACTTGTCTGTGCATTTAAATGAGATTGCTTACTTAGAAAACTTGAGATGATACCTTGAGCATTACTGCTAGAATTAGTTGCAGTTATTTCAACGAGATTTAATTGTATAAAACATTCACTAGTAGAAAACAGGGCTATGGTCCAGGCCGGCTCAGCCCATTAGTCCCGGTTCAATCTAGAACCGGGACCAATGTGGGCATTGGTCCTGGTTCGTGAGCCCAGGGGGCCGGCCGGGCCACGTGGGCCATTGGTCCCGATTCGTCTGGACCTTTTGGTCCCGGTTGGTGGGACGAATCGGGACCAATGGGCCTCGCTCCTGGCCCACCACCATTGGTCCCGGTTGGTGGCTTGAACCGGGACCAAAGGCTTCCCTTTAGTCCCGGTTCATATCATCAACCGGGACCAATTAGGTGCCTATATATACCCCCTCGCGCAAGAGCAGAGCACAGTGCTCTGTTTTTTCTGGCCGAGGGGGAGAGGGCTTTGTGGTGCTCTAGCTCACCTCCTATGCACATGAGGTGTTCGATGGAATGCCCGAGCCACACTACTTAAGCTTTCTCCTCTCGAAGCTCGACCTCCAAGCTCCATTTTCCTCGAGATTTGTCTAGATTTAACGGTCCGTCACGCCCCGTCCCCGTCTTCTCCGCCGTCGATCACCCGCGCCGATCTCATCACCGACACCACCGTGGTGAGCCTCTTGTTCTTATCTTCTTTCTGAAAGGAAAAATATTCTTACTTGTATGTTTAGATAGATACTCGTATCATTTTCTTACATTTATTATTGCATCTTATATAGTGCGATGGTTTTGGTATCCGCCCCCGTCGGCCCTCGTCCTGTCTATGATTCGGATTTGGTATGTATATTATCTTTATAACTATTGGTTCATTTATTATTTATGAAAATTATACCGACCAACGTGACATAGATTTTATTTATCTAGGATGTATGTGAATCGGAAATGCCAACCGACCCTATTGTCGAGAGGTTAAATTTAGTTGAAGAAGAAAACAATTTGTTGAAGGAAAAAATAAAAAAAATTGAGGAGGAGAAGATGATATTGGAGTTGCATGTTGCGGATGTCGTCGATGATCACAAGATCAAAATGGATGCAATGCGCTTGAAGATTAGAAAGATTAGAAAATATGCCATTCATACCGAGGCTTGGTATCATTATGCCGTTGGATCAATTGTTACCTTGGTTGCGATTATGATCGCATTTGTTTTCGCATTGAAATGTTTTACATAGTTTCAATGTATGGTTTAATTAATTAGATGCTCTGGAGAGCTATATGTTGTTAGATGAGAACTATGTATGCACTTTGGTTTTAATGTGATGATGAACTTCTATTAATTTGGACACTTAATTATATATAATGCACGCAGATGAACCGGCAATGGATGTACAGTGACAGACACACCCGCGAGTACATTAAGGGCGTGCATGAGTTTCTCGATGCGGCTAAGGAAAACAAGCAGAATGGTTTTATGTGTTGTCTATGCACTGAATGTGGGAATACGAGGTCTTACTCTAACCGGAAAAATCCTTCACTCCCACCTGCTTTATAAGGGTTTCATGCCACACTATAATGTTTGGACGAGGCACGGAGAAATAGGGGTTATGATGGAAGACGGCGAAGAAGAAGAGTACGATGACAACTATGTGCCCCCTGAATACGGTGATGCTGCAACGGGGGGAGCTGGTGAAGATCAAGAGGAACCAAACGATGTGCCCAATGATGCTGCCACGGGTGAAGCTGCTGAAGATCAAGAGGAAGCAGACGATGTGCCCGATGATGATGATCTCCGCCGGGTCATTGTCGATGCAAGGACGCAATGCATTAGTCAAAAGGAGAAGCTGAAGTTCAATCGCATGTTAGAGGATCACAAAAAAGCGTTATGCCCCAATTGCGAAGATGGCAACACAAAGCTCGGTACCGTACTGGAATTGCTGCAGTGGAAGGCAGAGAATGCTGTGGCTGACAAAGGATTTGAGAAGCTACTGAAAATATTGAAGAAGAAGCTTCCAAAGGATAACGAATTGCCCGACAGTACATACGCAGCAAAGAAGGTCGTATGCCCTCTAGGATTGGAGGTGGAGAAGATACATGCATGCCCTAATGACTGCATCCTCTACCGCGGTGCATACAAGGATCTGAACGCATGCCCGGTATGTGGTGCGTTGCGGTATAAGATCAGACGAGATGACCCTGGTGATGTTGACGGCGAGCCCCTCAGGAAGAGGGTTCCTGCGAAGGTGATGTGGTATGCTCCTATAATACC